AAAGTGCTTAGAACAGCATCCGGCACAATTTAGGTACCACGTAAGTATTAGCTATTATTACATATGTAAAATGAGTTTGCAAAAGGTTAGGCATGGTAGGGTAGTAAGTAGAATCAGCATTCTTATAGAACATTGGTTCTTGAAAAGGTGGACGGTCAATACGCCCCTCTCCAATAGCAGTTCATAAATTTATGGAGGCATTTTAGAGGTCAAGGGAGGGTCCTGGTAGCATACTACCAGCATTTAGTGATAGGAACCAGGGATCCGAGACATCTTGCAAGATTTGAGGGAGTCCTTCACCGTGCAAGACTTTTCTAGATCCCAAATGACATGGCACCCCCCTACCCATCTTTATCTGTAGCTATGCATTGATGTTAAGTTTACATACAGATACTAGCATCTACCTCCTTCATTATGACCTCTGGTGTAGCTATACCAGGCATTTATCTATTGAACATTTTTTCTAATTTACATCATGTCTCCATTTTATTAATGTTAATAATATAATAATAATAGGGCATTATATTGATTTTTAAGTTTAAATTACAGTTAGGTTATATTATCTACGAAATTCATTTCATAAAAACAAAAGGAGTGTCAGGAAAATTTGCTATTCAAAATATTCCGGGTCTGAATTTATAGGATTTAAGGTGAAATAAGGTTTAGAGATGGCTTAATCCAGCTCCCTAGCTTTCCAATGAAGAAAACCAAGGCCAAAAGAAATAAAGTATCTTGTAAAAAGTGTAACGATTAGTTAAATGGTAAGAACTCAAGTTTTAAGACCCTCATTCCAGGGTTCTTGGGTATTCTTTAAGAATCTGTACAGCCTAAACAAAGTAAGATTCCTTAAAGTTCAAATTCTCCTCCAATCCTGAGATTTTACGCCAGCAAAATCACTGCCCCTCCCTGGGCATCCCATCGCCCTGCCCCCATCTCCACTGCCACCACTGGAGAAATTGATTGTGAAAGTGACATTTTTGATGATCTCAACAGCCGTGCATTTCCGGGAGCAGTACTGGGGGGAAAGCTTTGATAGACAAGGCTATTTCAACAACAGTCTCTGATTTTCTCCTTCAAGTTTCCACCTTTCCTGGTCTAGTTCTATAGGGGACCTTTTGGATTCAAAGATGATTCTGTCCACACCCCACCTCCCTGCCCCAGTGTGAGTCTTCCAGAACATTCTGGACTCCTTGATCTCGACGAAGTCATGGAGAAACTAATTTTATTGTAGTTTGAGTCACAAAAAGGTTGATATATTTCAAATTACTATTTTACTATTAATAGGAGAGCAAAAATCTCATCCCTCCCCCCACCCCGAGCTGCCAGGGATGTCTATGTAGGTGTGTCCTGCCCAACTCCAGAGGGTGCCCTTCACATTGTAGTCTGTGTGAATGGTGCCTCCTGGAGTTACGGGTTCAATATCTGCATGGCTGAATGCAGGGTCCCTACTCCCACTTGCTGTAATGGGAAATGGGTTCATAGTGTGAAGATCTCTGATCTTAACCTTGAAGTATATTTGGTTAAACACTGACTTAACCGGCATAGTTTATACACATTTATTTTAGGTTTGAATTGCAATTTAGGTTCCTTGCTGGCCATGTGTTCAACCATGGAGGCCCTGTTACATTGCAAACTTGGGCCATATCGCAGCAGCCCCCTCGTGATAGCCAGACCCTGGGTGCATTAAGGTTTTAAGCCTCTGTCCTCTTTCCTGGACCTCCTTTTGAGTAGCCCACACAATTGCTGTTTCTTGCTCAGGTGAGGAGTGGGGAAGAACATCTTGAGTCCAGTAACTGATGAATTATTATTATTCTCAGAGTGCTCTTCCAGACAGCAGCCCTGTGAGTAAGTATGTCCAGCCAGTTTCTTTCTTTTTGTTTTTACTTTTTTTTTTCCTGAGGAAGATGAGCCCTGAGCTAACTGCTGCCAATCCTCCTCTTTTGGCTGAGGAAGACTGGCCCTGAGCTAACATCCCGTGCCCATCTTCCTCTACTTTTATATGTGGGACGCCTACCACAGCATGGCTTTGCCAAGCGGTGCCGTGTCCGCACCCGGGATCCGAACCGCTGAACCCCGGGCTGCCAAAGCGGAAGGTGCGCACTTAACCGCTGCGCCAACGGGCCAGCCCCAAGCCAGTTTCTTTATTCGCAATTTTCAGAAGAAGACATTGAGGCTGGGAGGTTAAGATCGTTCTGTGACAGAATCTATGGCAGAATCCATGCCTAGAATGCAGGCAGAAACTTGCTCCTCAAGGTTTCATTTCACAGGACGTTCCACCAGGAGAGGTGGTGACTCTCCACTAGGGGGCGCTTGTCACGTAACTGGGTGCGTATTGGCCGCGGTTGAGGACTAAACTAACCACCATTTGGCTCCCTCAAAAGACAAACCAACCAAAAAAAAAGCAATCTAAGTAAGAAACAGTGCATTTTCCGCATAAATTTATTTTTAAAATATCTCCCTTTGGGGCCGGCCACGTGGCCGAGTGGGCAAGTTCGCGCGCTCCACTGCAGCGGCCCAGGGTTCAGGTCCTGGGCGTGGACATGGCACTGCTAGTCAGGTCACGTTGAGGCAGCGTCCCACATGCCACAACTAGAAGGACCCACAACTAAGATATACAACTATGGGGGGGGGGGGAGTTTGGGGACACAAAGCAGAAAACAAATAAAAGATTGGCAACAGTTGTTAGTTCAGGTGCCAATCTTTAAAAAAAAAAAAACTCCCTGAGCCCTCTGGTCCAGCTAAATTACGTCTGCAAAGCCTGTCCTATGTAGAAATTCTGGAATCAAGACTGCATTTCAGAATATGGGCAAGTGGGTATGTGATTTTAAAAAGCCCTTTGGGTGGTTCTGACAAGTCCTTTCAGCTGGGAATCCATGCACTAGGCCAAGCTACAAAAGAGACAATGTGCGATATTTGACTGGATGGTATATGATTACTCCCGCCACGTTTAGGACCAACACTTCGCCTCAGAATATGAGACACTGCTGGGTGCTTCCGGTACTTGCTTCTCGTAGTAGCAGCGGATTTCTGACAACTCAGGTTGGGGATAAGATAAGGCCCGATGGTTCATATCCAGGAGGCCCACAGGTCTTTCCCAGATGTCCTACCTGCAGCACATGACAACGTGTTGTAAGACTGTCCTATGAGAGGTTTTTACAAAACTCGCTTTTCAGTTGCGGCGTCAATAAAGCCACATAACTGCTTGATTTTTTTTTTCTTTGTTTAAGTTTCTTTTCAACTGCAGAGAGTCATCTTTTCTTCCTCTTTTTTGGGTGAGAGATATTTTTTACTTCTTTGCTAAGTCATTATTCATTAAATTGAAACCAAGGGGAAGAACAGGAAAAAAAGAGCATAATGCAGGGCAGTGCCTGAAATAAAAATGACCTGCCTTTTGTCCCCCCGATATTTTACAGTAAATATTGAAACTGAGCAGCTGCCCAGCAGTTTATAGTCCAAACTCTACTTGCTCCAGATCCCACCTGCCCCTTGTCACACAATCCAACACACACTCGAATCAAGAAAACTTTTTTCTGTTTACTTATGTTAATCATAAGCCAAAGCAAACAACTTTCCACTTTCTGGATCCAGGATAGCAATTAAATATGAAGACATCACAAATCCTCTAGACAAATAAGGGGGAGGGAAATTCTCTGTATTCTAGGCCAGGAGGTGGGCCATCACGTACCAGAGAGTTGCATCAGCTGTCACCCACAACAAAGTTGGTTTCCCAACTTTGAATTTTCTCAGTTTCACAGGCCAGCACCACAACTGGTGAGCAGGAAATGGACTTGAGCCCTTAATTTAGGATTTAAACCATCCACCAGTTTACAAGGCCTCAGTTGAAACATTCTGTTTCAATGGCTATGGGGTCATTTACTCACTCACTCAGCATGCTTGTCACTGAGCATCTAAGCTCAAGGGAGACGACCCATAACTAAATAAAAGACCCGGGACGACTCAGTCTACAGTTGAGGGGAAGCTGAGTAGATAGACGAAATAATTACACAATATCAGTGCTGACAGAGATATGTACAAAGCCAGCTAAGGGGCAGGGAGGCAGATATCAAGTGAGAAATACAGCTGTGGTGGAAAGGAGAACGCATTATCCCCAACTTCCCTACTCTCTTTCTCCCCCATGTAACACCAAAGAACCACAAAAACGTACAAAATGATGCTACCTATGCTATTCACATTCAATAATTAGGGGATTGTGGACATCAGATCCCAAGAGAGAAGTCTTTAAGATGCCGCACACGCAAGGGAAACTGTTTATAAATGCCAAGTTGTTTCCACACCACTCCAGAAAAACTCCCAGAAATGGAGGCAGAAAAACCACTTCAGCAACCCTCCACCCAGAGCAACCTGGAATCCAGACCGACCGGCCAAACCCCTGGCAGCACAACTGAACTTCTGCATCAACTTCCCAGCCCGTGGCACAGCTCCCCAGTCATCACCCCAGTTTCCTGTCGGAAAGGAGGGAAGTCTAGAAGAGTGGTCGGAGTTTCAGCATTCAAACATTGTCACCCCTCTCTGGTCCCTTTAGGATTCAACCCTTTTAGCTGAGTTGCCCAGGCTTCAGAGGAGAAAATGGTGCCAAAGCAGAAAACTATCAGAGTTGCGATTACTCAGTGAGCTCACTTGGTAACGTGGACATCTACCTTAATTTCCAGTTCCACTCCCCAGCCCCTACACTGCACTTGGATTATCCGCAGATCAAAATGAGGGAACGTGCACTTAGCAAGAGACCGGCGCTCGGCACAGAGGAGCTCGAGACACCCTGCTCGCCTAGCCTTTTCATACACCCTGCTGGATCAAAGCCTGTAACGACTGTAGGTGGGGTCAAGTTGCCCCCAGGTGGGTAAAAGTTGTCAAAACTCCATGCCACCTCCCACCCCCAGCCCCCTGGGGTGTGAGGACACTTGGGTGAGGGTGAGGGTGCGGCGGGAGGGCGAGTGGGTGTGTGCGCGCCCAGCGCAGCCCGCGCGGCGTTAACCCCTTACCTTCCAGCAGCACTTCCTTGCCCGCGCGCTTTAACGCCTGCACCGCCTCGTCGTGGGTGGCGTCCCGCAGGTCGGCCCCGTTCACCGACAGGATGGCGTCCCCCACGTACAGGGCTTGGGTCTGATCCGCCGCCAGCCCCTTGAAGATCTTGCTGATGAGGATGGGCATCTTGTTCTCCTTGCCCCCCTTGATGCTGATGCCCAGCCCGCCCAGCTCCTGCTTCAGCACCTTCACGCCACGCTTCTGGTTCGAGATGGCCTCGGGCACCTGCTCGGGCAGGTCGGTAAAGGCGGTGCGGACCCCGGCGGGCGAGTCCGGGGGCTGCGCGCCGCCCGCGCCCGGGTGCCCGCTGCCGGCGCCCCTGCAGAACGAGCCATTGGTGGCGGTCCCGATGCCGTTGTACGCCGCAGAGCCCTCCTCGCAGCTCAGAACCAGGGCGTCCTCGCTCAAGTTCACCAGAACTTTGTGCCAGCGATCCCGCACCAAAACTTCCAGCAGCCCGCTCCGCTGCGCTCGGCCGCCTCCCGCGCCGGCCGGCCCCGCCGCCGCCGCCGCCGCCGCTACCGCCATCTTTCCGGCATTCTTAAAATGCCATGTGATTGCAAAAGCGGGGAAAAGTGGGGAAGGGTTGCGGGGGGAGGACGCGGGGCCTGGGGGAGCGAGGAGCGCGCGCCCCGCGGGGACGAGGCAGGACGCGAGACTCCACTCCGGGAGTTGCAGACGCACTCGGCGCGAGTTGGCAGCCGCAGCCAAGCTGGTTCCCCCTCGCCTGATCCTGGGCGGGGTGGAGCAACCTAAAAGAAGAAGGAGAGACAGAAACAGGGGAGGGAAGAAAAAAAAAGCCAGCTGCCCGTTGCAAAACCCCAAACCAAGGGGAGCCGCGGAACAGCTAACCGCCGGAGAGAGTCGGTAGGAGGAGGCACGCTCGCGGGGAAGGGCGGGGACCCACCACCCGGCGGCCGCTCACCTGTTCCAGCCGCCGCAGCCTCGGCGGTCGCACGCTCACGCCGCCTCCCTCCTCGGAGCGCGCGGCGCCTTAGGGACAGCTTCCCAGAGCCTTCTCGCCACTCCGCCCCAGCCTTCTCTTCTCGACTCTCCCTTTCCCGCGGACGCTCACACCGCACCTTTGCCTGGTCTATGTGTGCTGCCTTGGCCCCCTCGCTGGATGCTCCTAAGCCCCCATCCCTTTCATACCATCCATTGAATTGTCCCTCAGTCTTAACCCCCCGTTGTATCTGGATCCAGATCTCCTTACTCTGGCTTCCTCACCAAGGCTTGGCTTCTCCTGCTGAGTTCTTACTTGTCTCTCCTTTCCGCAAGGACTCAGGTAAACTCAAACGGAGGCTCTGGGTTCTCTGAGAGTCAAGAGGCAAGGCTGTCCCAAGAACCCGAAATGAAACGTCAGGCTAATCCCAGCCCCCGACACTTCCTTTCTTTAAATGCAGGACATCTTTCTGTGGGGTCTCTGGAGAGGTGTCTCTGCCGGCTGGGCTTTTCAGCAGGTCACTGCCTGCCCCAGAGCCCAGGGGTAAATCTGCTTCCAGCTCTAACACTTTGTATGCTCCTTGTGCCGCCCCAAATGCTTCTTGGGACTTTCTCTTTCTTCCCAAGATCCAGTGTAGGAAGTCCACCATTTAAGAGCTCACTTGCAATGCATTGTACCTCCGAAGTCCCTTTACAGGTTACTTATTGGGAGCTCAAGCTGCATTTTTCCAGAGGAAAGATATTATAATTATTGGTTACCTTCCCAGGCCAATCTGGAAATGCCCACATAACCTATGTCATAGCTGAACCTCCCAGGGTCCTCCTGGTCCTTGAACCTCTCAAGTTCTCTTCCAGCGCTGAGCAGGTCTCATGGATCTCTTGAAGTGTTTCGCCCTTCTCCTTCACCTCCCCTTTCCAGCTCTCTCCAACAACGAAACAAAACGAGACTCACAACTCTCGCAACTGCTAAAGGCAAACTCAGTCCAGCAAGGTGTCAGGAGGAAAGAAATCTCCTTGAACATATTCCCACTGATGTGTGTCTTCACTGAAGTTTCTCTAACCCTTCCAGAATGACTCACACTTTTAATTGAGAATGTTTAAAACTCAGACAAATCCCTAAAGGGTGGCTGCTGTTCCCAGGAGGTCACAGAATAAAATGAAAACACTTGGACATATTTTTTTTGAGGAGGGGAAGTCAATGCAGCCAGGCCAGTGGGAACCCTTGGATTAAAGCTTGGAGTGCCTCCTTTCCTATATTTTTAGACCACCAGTCTTACAAAAGCTCTTTATTCTTTCATGTAAAGCTGGCACCCGTGGCAGGGACAGCAGCCACTGTGGGCAAGATCAGACCAGGAGCTGATACACTGTTGGGTGGGTAAACCCTCTGCCCTCTGCTTTAGAGACTGAGGACTCAGGCGCGTTGCTCTTCAGGAGAATCAGAGCCTGCGTGTCTGCATTCTAACCCAAGGACAGTAAGGCGGAGAGAGGCACCAGAATGCCAGTGAGATGATTTGAAAATCAAAACAGTTCTGCCCCTGGACCGAAATCCTCCATTTGCACTATGCCTGTATCTTGCTTCTGTGGTCCAGCAAAGTGGGAGGCCCAGGCATAACTAGAAGTAGTTTATCGATTTGCCATAAAACATTGCAGGCTCTGGGATGGGAATTTCTCAGAATCTCTATGATAAGCACATTTTTTCTGTGTAAGCAAACCCACATAAGAAGGAGTAGGTTGCTTGTTGAAAATGACATTGGAAGGGGGGGAGACAAATATTTAAGATCATTAGGCCTCAGGCATGCACACTGGCCAGAGATGGCTTTGCCAATGGAATTATAGTAAAGCCCCTATTCCAAGTGTTTTATATATATTGACTTAATTCTTCCAGCAATTCTTGGGGATACTTACTTTTATCATCAGTCCCATTTCACAGGTGAAATAATAGAGATACAGGTTTAATAACTTGCACAGGTCATGTAGCTAGTAAATGGCAGAGTCAGGATTTGAAGCCAGTTTTGATGAGTTTGGACTCTTAACGATCGTCCTGCACTCTCCTGAGAATGCTCGGAGCCTGTAAGCTATCACGTTCATCTTGCACTGAGGCCAGTCTTTCCATTGGGAGGGAAGCTCTGGCGGTTAAGACCCTTCCTCCAGGCTGCATATGGAAAAGCAGAGCCAGCCCTGGTCTCTGGCCTCTCCTTTCCAAGGTTAGAGAACTCCCCCTCCCCTAATGGACATTTTTTTTCTTTAGACACGTTAATATGTTAAAACTGCTGACTGTGCGGTCTTGCTGGCCTGGAAGTCCTACCTTATCCCTCTGACAGCTCTGCATATCTGGCCTCCGATGAGTAATACTGACTCTCAAAGGTAAACCTTACCTACCTCATTTCTTAGTTCTCAGTGGGACTGAGACTACTGCAGTGTAGCTGCAGAACCCTTACAATTAGGACAGATCATAGGCTCCTAGGTCTCCCCTTTTAAAGAACTGTCACTGGAAAGGACCAAAGAGACTTCCAGCTTCCTCATTTTATTAGTGTGGCACCTAAAGCTCAGCATAGAGCAGTGATGGACCCAATGGCACACAGTAAGTTTGGGACAAAGCCTCAACTGGGTCATTATGACTACCAGTCCAATTTCAGTATTCTAACCACTGCACTCGAAGGTCCCGTCTTTTTTTAATTTTTATTTTTTAAGCAGATTTCTTTTGCTTAGCTGTGTCTCCTGTTGTGCTTCCTCTTTCTGTCCTAAACTTTTGACTTCCGTTTCCTATCCAGCCAAAGCTGGAATCCTCCGTGTGTTCCCCTTTCCTGTGGGAGGTGCATTTCCTACAGAGGTTTGGGTGGACTTAGAATTGCAAGAGCTGATCACACAATTCTCCGCTCCACAGAGCTGAGCATATGTGAGTGAGCAGCAGCCTGTGGCAGAAGGGGCAGTGTCCATCCATTCATTCCGCAGTTTTGTTGTGCCCCTACCATGTCCCAGGGCACTGTTCTAGGTGCTAGGATACGGGAGCAGACAGACTGGCAAAGATGTGCTCTGTGAGGCTTCCATTGTAGTGGATGGTAGGGTGGAGAAAGACTGCAAACATAAGATACTTGCGTGGAGAAGTAAATTCTAGGAAGAAAATAAAGCAGAGTTATAGGGTCAAGAGTGACTTAGGGCAAGGGACATCTGGAGGCAGTGGCTGTTAAGGAAAGTCTTTGGGAGAAGGTGACATTTGGGCTGGGACATGGATGATAAGAAGATGAGAGTCTTGCAAAGATCTAGGGAAGAGGGTTCCAGGGAGAAGGGAGAGCCCTTGCAAAGCACCTGAGACAGAACTAACCTGTCTGGTTCAAGGGACCAAAAGGAGGTCAGCATGGCCCATGGCAGGAAGAGAGAGTTGGGAGGGGAGATCAGAGAGATAGGCTGGACCAAAACGCAAGATAGGGCCGTGGAGGATTACAACACAGGCCATTCTCCTTGTCCCCTTTGGGCTTCAACAACCACACATTTTGGATTGTCAGGGACAGTCTTGTTTCAAATATTACTTCCTATTACCTACTGATTAAACTTCTACTGGTTTGAACCCATGCTCCAATATTCAGATTTGGAAAATGTGATGATTGTACTTTTGGTACTGTTTCCTAAAGAGTAGGTTGAACATCTTTAGGGGGATTATTCAATATACAGGATGGAGAGCAGATACAAGGGGAATAGTGAAGAAGAGAAAAGTGGAGAGCTCTTTGATATCTGGGGGAAAATGGGAGAACAGAAGGAGAGAGGAGCAGGAGAGGTGCTTGAAATTCACAACCCCTAAGATAAGGAATACCCACGTAAATATCTATTGACTAAACACTTACTAAGTACCTTCTCTTCTAAGGAACTGAGGAAGGTACTGGAGGTAGGCTGACCCAAAGATGCAAAGATAATTAAGACAGGAAGACAGATTGTACACAAAGAGTACATGGGGGGAATGCCATGGCTGCAGTGCTGAGTGTGAATGGGTGGAAGCAGCCAGCCTCTGATTCCAAATCATAATACTGGGTTAGTGATTCTTATTGGAAAGATGAAGCCCTAAGACAGAGGGATGGCACAGGAAGAGAGGCTGAGCAAGTTCTGTCTTCTCTGGTGTGCCCCAGTTGGCTAACAGGTGCATTATCAATTTTAAATGTGTTTGCAGACACCACCTGGCATTTGCCTGGGTGGATCCTTGATAAACTAGATAGACCACCATCCAGACTGTCAGCCAGCCAGTGATTCAGGTGAGAGTTATTTGATTGCTCACTGAGTTTAGAATGTTGTAGTGGGGACTTTTCCCAGGAGCAGGAGTAGCCCAGGGCAGAATTTAAAGTGCTTAGATGGTTATCTTCCACCTTCTCTTATGGAGTTCCTCTTCTTTTACTTCCCTTTCATAACTGCTGTTGCTGAAACAAGGCTTATACCAGTCATTTGGGATCTATAATATAAATTTAAGTCACTTTTCTTAAGGGATTTTACATTTGATCCTTTTTTGCAATGGCAGTTTAGAGCCCATATTAAAGACATGTTGAACAAAATGGCTCTTTGAAATCCTAGTAGGCAAGATATCCCACTCCACACTAGTAACTTCAGCAAGTTGGCTTACGTAGGCATAGATGTCCTGGTGTGATGGTGAAGAAGAATAGGAAATCAATTTCTTCCATACGCATCTTCAAAATATGGCCGAAAGAAAATGAAAAGTCAAGGATGATACTTGAAAAATGTTGAAAGCAGAATCGACGGGGTCTGGCACTCGATTTGGATGTGGGAAGCAAAGGAAAAGATTGATTACAGGGAGAGAAATTCGTAACTATTTGCTCACTTTTGAATGGCTTCTATGCATGGTTAAACTAGAACTATACAAAAATAGCCCCAATTAATTGCAAAACTTGGAAGCCCAGAGGCAGAAGACACATTTACAGGCAAATGGTTCCTGCCCTACTTCTAGAATAAAAATTTAAGCCCTCTGAGGCATCGCAAGACACTGTATTTACATGCAGTGTCCACTGGCCTGGCATTGATGCCTGCAAGCTGTGGTTTGCCTGGTGAAGAGGTGAAGAAAACAAGAATAAGCAAAAGGCAGAGCCTGGAGACAATCCCAGGCAGCTGCCTCCTTTTCGCTTTTCCGTGGGTGTCAATATTTTGCACTTCGGGGGCAGAGGACTGTGGTGGAAGTAAGAGGGCAGGAGTTCTCCCAGGACCACGCTGGAATGGAACAGCCAGCTTCAGGAGCAGCCAGAATGACCGGTGGAGAAAATAGCAGGGAAAATACTAGCAGAAGTACTTCCAGGAGAAAACAAATCGTCGCAGGCTGGCTAGAATTTCATTTTTCATATATTTCTGTTCAGTATCAGTTTTCTCAGGGCAGGGGCTATGTTTCAGATTTCATAGCTATTATAGCCTTAAAGTGCTTCAAGGTAATGCCTAGCAGTTGTTCTCAAACTTAGGAGGGAATTAGAACCACCTGGGGAGCATGTTAAAAAAGCATCGAATTCAATAATCCCTTCAACAGTTATTCGCAGACTTCTGAAATGTAGTTTCTTCCATATATACTTCCTTCTGTTGCTGTTGATTTTAATTTCACTATGATATAAATTCCTATTTACTGTGCTATGACCCATTACTATTATTATTCTCTTTTCTGCTCAGATATGCCAAATGTGAGCCTCTTCAAGCTGACTCCTGTGTTCTTTTGACAAGTCTCCATTATCATTAAGCATTTTTTTCTTTCTGACATAACAAGTTATTCCAGGATCAACTTATATTTTATCTACCTAACCCCATAATCAGTCATTCCTTAAGGAGCGCTGGTTCCTTTTAGTGTGAAATGTTATTTAAAAACCAAGATCTGACGACTAGATGTGCTTATTTCTACTATGGTAGTAGATAGAGTTCATACTCATACCCCCAATTCAAATCTGACATCATAGATTCTTTCTTATTTTTCCTTATTCCATATTTGTTTGTTTGTTTTTTGAGGAAGATTGGCCCTGAGCTAACATCTGTGCCAGTCTTTCTCTATTTTATATGTGGGACGCCTGCCACAGCATGGCTCAATAAGCGGTACAGAGGTCTGTGCCCGGAATCTGAACTGGCGAACCCCAGGCTGTCCAAATGGAGCGTGTGAACTTAACTGCTATGCCACCAGGCTGGCTCCTCCTTATTCCATATTTTATCACCCAATGTATGAGAAATCTGGTTTTCAAAAATGTCAAGGTATTTATTTATTTTGCCATGTCCTACAATATAGAAAGAGATTGTTTCAGAATTACTATTACTATTCCAGTAGCAATACCAACAGCAAACCTACTTAGTAAGTTCAAAATTTTTTGCAGTTCGTTTTGTCCTTAGAATGTGTTCCAATAAAGGTACACAGAGTATAATATAAATGCTCGATCTAATCTACCACCTAGAAATCTAGGTATGGGAAAGCAGGCAGATCCAGATGGAGGGGCATTCTAGAAAACATGTGGCCTGAACTCCCTGAAAATATCAAGTCATGAGAGACAAAAAACAATTTTCTAAACAAAAGGAAGTGAAAGAGACATGAAAATCAAATAAAATGCAAGATTTTGGATTAGATCGTCAAAGAAAAACTACAAGGACTTTTTTTGGTAGTAATTAAAGACATTTAAATATAGACTGTGTATTTGATAACATAATAGCATCAATATTAATTAAATTCCTTGGGTGCAATAATGGTGTTATGGTTGTAGACATCTTTGTTCCTAAAAGATATGCGTTGATATGTTCAGGGGTGAAATGATGCCCATAACTGACTTTCAAATGGAGAGAGAGAGGAATTATCAAGCAAACGTGGCAACCTATGAACTGACTTTCAAATGGAGTCTGACTTTTCAAATATTTTTTCTCAAGCAAGAGAAAAAAAGATCTATGAAGCAAATTAACAATAAGTGCATCTAGTGAAAGGTAGATAGGGTTCATTGTATGATTTTTTTCAACTTTTTTGTAGGTTTAATACTTATTTTGAAACTATAGTTGGGGATAATAATGCTGAAACCTAAGCCCCACTCCAAAAGATCCTGATGAGTCTGGTCTTGGGTAGGGTCTGGAAGTGCACATTTTATCAAGTGGGTTCTGGTGTAAATAAGACAGCATTGTCAGAAAGGCTGAGCAGAAACCTGTCATTTTCCAGAGTGGAAACCCAACACCAAAGGCTCCCTAAGGTCACACATCCTTGGAGGCAAAGTCAGGACTAAAATGTCTTTCTCCTAAGAAACAGTGGCTCTAGATCGGTTAAACCCGACAAGATAGTGGGTAATCAATAAATATTTAATAATTGCTGGATAATCCCAAATGCTATGGTAGAGAAAGAAAAGGGAACTGATTAAGTGCTCCCTGATTCTGACCCAGGCACTTTCAGATACCTTCACTGTTGTAATCGTTCCGAGAAACTAAGGTTTAGATGGATAATCCATTTTTTATGTGTGAAGAAACTGAGGCTGAGAAGTTGAGCAACTGTGAAGTCCAGCTGCTTAGACTTACATCCCAGCTCCCTAACTTACGAGCTCTGTGACACCAGGGAAATCATTCAACTCTTTTAAGCTTCAATTTGCTCACTAAAATATGTGTTTAACAATTACTTTCGTTTCATAGGATTATTGTATGGATTAAATAGAATAGTCCGTGTTAGGCACTTGACACAAAGCCCACACTGAGTGAAAAAAAGTGATCAAGAAATGTTAACTAGTCTTACTAGGTTTGAGATGACAGAAGTGGTAAGCGGTAAACATTTTAGTTGAGGTATATAGATTTAAGATGAGCAGAAAAAGAATCTTCTCTATATGTAGTTGAATATAATGGTATACAGCTTATAAATTCATTTTAAGTTCTCTTGCTATTTCTTTCCTCTCTTCCTCTTTGCCTTCCACCCTCCCTCCTAAAACCAACTGAAATTTTAACTATGCCTTAGGACAGCAAGAACTATGTATAGGATACTGAAGATTCATAGTCAAGTGGAAGGGTTGGAAAACTCTGGCCCCTGGTCTAGCTCTTTGTTTTTCTAAATAAGTTTTATTGGAACACAGCAACATACATTTGTCTACATCTTGTCTATGGCTGCTCTCATACTGCAATGGCAGGCAAAGCGGGCAATCTAACAGAGACTGTAGAACCCTCTGATCCTTGAGCCCTTTGCCTGTAGAGATGGTCAAAAATATAAAAATATTTCTAACCTGGCTCTTTACAGAAAAAGAATGATTCCTGGTCTAGTGTATTGAAATGCTGGGAAAAGGACTGGAGCAACTATAAAACCAGGGGAAAACTAGAAGTCAAGTTACGAGGCACTAGTCTGGCTAATAGTAAGCATTTCAGTTCACGGTAGCTATCATTATTATATATAAAGGAAACAAGAAAGAGAAATCGAACCAACATTTGAAAGTGCTCACAAAGGGCCAGTTTATATTTTCTCATGCAATATTCACATCAACTCTGTGAAGCAGAATTCATCCCAGTTTTATAAATGGAGACTTGGAACACAGAGAAATAAAGAAACCCACTCAGGATCACATCAATTTGGAGTGGAAGGATTGGAATTCAGACTTAAGTTTGACAAACTCCACATCATGTCCCCTTTCCTCTGGGTCACCCTGCCACCTTCGCCACATTTTAGGCCCCATTTGATTGAAAGTCAGATTTTACATCTGTGGTCCTCTGAGTGAGGGCCTTTAAAATCATTTTTAAAGAGAAGCCCCCAAGAGGATCAACCTCTCTTCCAATGAGTGAGTCTTTGGCAGCCCTAACATTGCTATGTTTTAAACTCTGTCCCACAGGCTATCTGAAAGATTAAAACACTGTGACTGCTCCTCTCAATGCCACCAACACCAATACCCCCACATAAAAAACAGCTTTAGATTACAGTCAGAGCGAAGAAGCCCAATTTTTGCACGAATGCAAAACCAATTTATTAGCATTTATTTTCTTTCCAGAAAGTCAAGCAACTGAAAAATTTGTTTTGGGATTGTTGGGGATTTCTTTCTTTTTTTTTTTTTTGTTAAGAGAGAATTTTGTTTTGCCCGATAGAATCTACTTAGAGTGAACTTAGATTCTTTCGCAAAAAGCCCATTATAATCAATGAGTCCTGAAATTCTCTCAAGGCTAAAATTTTTGTGGAAGAGAGAAGCTTGCGACAGTAGGAGAATGATGATGGTGATGATGATTATCCATTTTCTTGAAATATTCTGCCCTCTAGTTTTCTGTTTTCCAAATTTCGATAGAGACATAAGTATAGAAGAAAGATTTCTCTATTATGAGAAGAACAATACACGTACTATGATAAATGGCTCCAGTGTTGGGTAATAATCAGTGGTGAGAAATATGAAAACCTGAAGAACACTAACTTCCTGTAAGAGGCCAGCAGTGTCCCTCAATGGCCAGTGATTGTTGCCTTCTCGGAAAGCATAGGGACCAGATCTTCTGATTTTCCAAGACAATTGAGAAATCTACTTTTCAATGATTTTTTAAATTTGGCTCAACCTGTTAGAACCGCTACTATCAAAAAGACAAGAGCTAACAAGAGCTGGCGCGGATGTGGAGAAAAGGCAACTCTTGTGCACTGTTGATGGGAATGTAAATTGGTATAGCCACTCTGGAACACAGAATGGAGGTTCCTCTAAACCTTAAAATAGAACAATCGTATGATCCAGAAATCCTACTTCTGAGTATATGTCTAAAGGAAATGAAATCACTATCCTGAAAAGATATCAGCACTCCCACGTTCATTGTAGTATTATTCACAATAGCTAAGACATGGAAACAACTGAAGTGTAGATGGGTGAATGGATAAAGAGATGTTGTATATATATACCGGAGTATTATTCAGCCATAAAAAAGGAGGAAATCTTGCCATTTGTGACAACATAGATGGACCTCAAGAGCATTGTGCTAAGTGAAATAAGTCAGACAGAGAAAGACAAACACTATTATCTCACTCATATGTGGAATCTAAAAACACTGAACTCATAGAAACAGAGAGTAGATTGGTGGTCCTGGGGTGAGGGGAATAGGTGAAGGTGGTCAAAGATGGACAAACTTTCAGATATAAGATGAATAAATTCTGGGGATCTAATGCACAGCATGGTGACTATAGTTAACAATATTGTATTGTGTACTTGAAAGTTGCTAAGAGAGTAGATCTTAAAAGTTCTCACCATAAAAAAAAGATAAGTACATAAAGTAATGGATGTGTTAACTAATCATATTGTGGTAATCATTTCGCAATATATACACATATCAAATGATCGTGTTGAACACAAACTTATACAATGTTATATGTCAATTATGTCACAATAAGGCTGGAAAGAAACTTTGGCTCTAATTTGTGTAAAATATCATTTGGCCCCACAAATAAAATAAAAGGCAAGCAAACCAAAGACTCATTTAGGCTGAATTTGGACTTTGGGTCATGACGTCATACTTCCCACTGTAAGTAACTGAACTGAAGGTCTGGATTTCTCTCTCAGTCTCTGGGAAGTTTGTATATGGTAAGTCTGTTCTTAGCGCTCTGATACAATCTCGTGTTCTCATAGAATGAAACCTCTGATCTCCAAGGACTACCCAGCCCTGCTCAATAAATGTAATGCTACAGGGGAGGTTTTTTGGCAGCCAGCCAACTGGCCTTCCTTTGGCTTCATGTATGCTCCTTCAACCTATACCCGTTCCCAAACTGGTGACAGAAATAAGATGGTAGATATTTTGCTTTCTACTATATGGTTCAACAAGAGACTAGATGCCTTTATATTAGGTTCTTGCAAAAAAGACACAGAACAGCTATCAGAGAGTAATTTTCCATCTCTTTCCAAACTTCCAGTTGTCAAGAGAAAAACACTTCCACAAACTTGGTGCAAAAACAAACGAAAAGAAACCCAACCAACATGATCCAAAAAGCACTGAAAATGGGACTTGTATAGAGAGAGGAAATTTGGGTTTATTTGAACCTATAGGAGTTCTGGAATTTTCTGCACTTTATATTCTCTGTGAACGTGGTCAACCCAGAGAACATTTCTGGGTAAGTACCCGGACTCTGCTCCCTGTAAATGCCCCTAACATTTTAGAAATTAGCTTTAGCCACTACAGGCTTAACTCAGGTACAGAGTTTATGGAGCAAGCAGATCTAGTCCTGAGCAGCCTTGGGAAGTACAGTCTGACCCTCTGTCATCCAGGGACGGATCAGATTATGAAGACATTTCAAGGCTACAAACTAACAATGCTCAGAGACTGGGTAGTTTCCAGGAGAAACCGTTCGCCTCTTTCTTCCTTTCCTAAGTAATCACAAGAAGTCTAATTTACCCAACCATTCTCAGGGGTCTTTCATTTTTATATTATATTACCGTCTGAAAATGTTTTCATATGGATGATGGCAATTGAGTCTCAAAACGTCCTAGAAAGGTAGGCAGGTCAGATATTGTTAAGCATCATTTTCTGAGGAGGGCACAAAAGCTTAGCAAGGTTATATGACTTTACCAAGGTTACTATAATTCAGGGTTTCTGAGTCAAGCTTAAGCATTTTTTCTTCAGTATCCAGAGAATCATCACTCTATACAATACCGTGCCAATTCTGTTGAGGCCATCAGCTTTTACACCTGACGCATGTGTCCCTCTCACCTTTGATCTCAATGTTATGTAAATATTCCAATAATTTCAGAAACAATTCTTGACTAATCCGTAAACAGACTGTGCTAGATGCTTTTATGGGATTAAAAAACACAGGATTTGGTTTCTGATCTGAAGGGATGGACAATTTGGATTTTAAAGAAAAGAATTACATGAAACTACACCCAAAAATAGAGGTAAAATTAAGAATAATAGGTCTCATAGCATGAGTCAAGAACAGAGCTAAGTACTTTGCATATATTATCTGATTTAATCCTTGGAGCAACTCTCCAAGGCAATTGTGATTATCCATCTGACAGTAGAGGAAACTATTAAGTAACCTGCCCAAGGTCATAGCTGGCTAACGCCAGAGCTAGGATTCAACTGCACTTCTGCCAGACGCCCAAGTCCTGGAGAGTTTCACTATGCCATTCTGACTCCCTAAACATACACAGGAGCCCATTGTGGTAGGGGCTGAACACTTCAACGCCCAGGAAAATGTGGACGGTGGGCATCCCCAGAGAAAGGGAGGGCCAGGGAAGGGTGTGTGAGTTGGGACTTGAAAAAAATGGTGAGCGTGGACTGGTGCAGAGCCAGTGGTGGTGAGGAGGACACAGGTGGGTTGGAAAAGCACGAGTAATAGATGGGTGATTGGTTAGAGCTGTGTGATGCAAAGTCAATCTCAGAGATCAGATGGCTTACCTGGCTGGAGAGCTGTAGGTTAGCACGGCGTGTTCTTGGAGCTGGATTTATAACTGTGCTTCTTTGTTCTGAAGGGGAATTTGTTGCTTTCACCAATTGCCCTAGCTTCCTGGGTTCAGGTACTCTCTGGAGTGAATGAAAAGCAAGATTTTGCAACATCTGTAGGAGAAGAAGGAAGGGGCTCTCCTGAATAAGAAAGAGTGGGTTGAATTCACCTTTTCTTAGGGCATCATAAAGGAGAGTTTGAAAGGCCGGTGGAGGGTGTTATGCACACTTGTTTCACAACAGAGGGCTTTTTGCACAAGTTCTTGAAAGAGTGATTCAAATTTTGTACCTATCAAAACCGTGGCCTACAGATGTGTTTTACTTGATCTGCATATTTTGGTTAGCTGGAATGTGATTTTCTGGACTCTGCTTTCTCTATTATTTCCTCTGTCTTCCAAAGCTTCCATTGGTGCTGGGATGTGATGCCAGGAGCAGCAGAAAATGTACTAGCCAGAGCCAACCTTTTGAGTTATAGATGAATCCAGACTGGGGAGGCTTTATTTCCTAGAGGACTCTGCCCCTCTCAGCCATTCCCAAAGGGATTCAATTCTGATATAGGATGACAGTAGGATGGTAGAATTGTTGGGCTTTCTGCATACTCCTCACTAAAGAGTAACGGTTTCTCACGAGGAAAGGTGATACTGTTGGAGACCTTGGACCTCTGGGTGAGGACTCACGCCAACTTAGAGAGGCCTAGGGTTAGATAACCTTCCCTCTGTCTCATGGAAGATACGTGACCTAAGAAGAGCTAGAGTTTTGCATTCTGTCACCTCGCTCTCCTGGATGGTTGTGTCCAAATCTGCCTGCCGGATCCCCTCTCCAGTCTACTTAGCACAGGGCGTTAGGAGCCAAGACACTCAGGCCAAGATGCCAACTGAATGGCTGACATCAGAAATCAGGACTGAATTACAACAAGGGTCCTTATGTGAGGTAGCCCAAGGCACAGAAAGCCGGAGTCCTCAAGGAAATGGCAAGATTCAAATACTGGGAGGACATAAACAAAAAACATCCCATAAAAAAACAAATAAAACATGATAAATTTCCAAAAAGCTTCTCAGCCTCATTCACAGTAAAAATTAAAATAATAAAGCACCGTTTTTCGTCTCTCAGGTTGGCAAAGATCTAAGAAGTTTGATAATATCCAATCTCAAAGATAGTGTGGGGAGATAGAACTCGAATTCCCTATAAATGGACTGCACATTAAAACAAACCTCTTGGAGAACTTTTCAGCACTATCTATGATGCATATACACTTTGGCCCAGCTCTTCTATTTTTGGGAAATTTTCTGACAGATATACTCACACAGGTGCAGAAAGGTACCAGGCAAGGAACTCCATTGCAGCATTTTTTATAATAGTGAAAAACCGGAAACCATTTAGATGTCCATGAATAGGGAACATCATGCAGACATTTTTAAAGATGTCAAAATAATATTAACTCAAAAGGGACAAACTTCCAGTTATAAGACAAATAAGTCCTGGGGATGTAATGTACAGCCTCGTGACCATAGTTAACAATGCTATGTTGTGTATTTGAAAATTGGTAAAAGAGGAGATCTTGAAAGTCCTCATCACATGCAAACACACAAATTGTGACCATGTGTGATGATGGACGTTAACTAAACTTATTGTGCCAATCATTTCACAATATATACGTATATCAAATCATTATGTTGCATACCTAAAACTAATGCGATGTTATATGGGAATTATATCTCAGTTAAAAAAAACTAAGTCAAAAGAAGCAAATAATAGATTAGTAGGTACAGTATGAGCTTTTTTGTATGAAACAACAAAAAGCAAAATGATGTATGTATCCATATACGTCTCTCTTTCTCTCTGCATGTATCTATGTATACTTCTCCAGGCATGGACATGTCTGAAAGGATGCGCGCAACAGCTAATAATGATTGCCACTGGGAATGTGAGTGAGAAGACCAATGAGATAAGGGGGCTTTTTGTTTTACTTTGTTGACTTATGTACAACTTGAATGTTTTCAGTAGTGAACAATTTATTTCTCTTATAATTAAAACAATATTTTAAATGAACTTATAAATGAGAAAAGCAGTAATTCTTTACTAGGAAGATCAAGTGCTATCGACATCAAGTTCAAAGCATCAAAGATACTAATGATAATAATAATAATAACACATACTTAGCACTTCTTTGTGCTCGCCACTGTTTATGCACGTTGCATACATTAACTCATTTAAGCCTTATAATGATCCTATGAAGTAACTACAGTGGTCCCCCCTTATCCACGGTTTTACTTTGCGAGGTTTCAGTTATCCGTGGTCAACTATGGTCTGAAAATATTAAATGGAAAATTCCAGAAACAAACAATTCTTAAGTTTTAAATTTTGCGCCCTTCTGAGTAGGTTCATGAAATCTCACTCTGTCCTGCTCCATCTGCCGGGTCGTTGTTTACGCCTTTGTCAAGCGTATCCACCCTGTATACGTTAACGGATCATTAGTCGCATAGTAGCCATCTTGGTTGTCAAACAGACTGTCATGGTATCACAGTGCTCATGTTCATGTAACCCTTATTTTATTTAATAATGGCCCTGAAGCACAAGAATTGCTATGTTGGCAATTTGGATATGCCAAAAAGAAGCTGTAAAGTGCTTTCCCTTAAGTGAAAAGGTGAAATTTCTCCACTTAATAGGGAAAGAGAAAAATCTTATGCTGGGATCCCTAAGAACTTTTATTCCAGTGTATTGTTAAAATTGCTCTATTTTATTGTAGTTATTGTTAATTTCTTCCTGTGCCTAATTTATAAATTAAACTTTATCATAGGTATAACATATAGGAAAAATCATAGTATATATTGGGTTCCACATTATCCATGGTTTCAGGCATCCACTGGGGGTCTTGGAACATACCTTTGTGGATAAGGGGGCACTACTATACTATTCGTACCACAATTTCAGTGATGAGGAACCGAGGCATAAGGAGGTCAACTTACTCTAGGACACACAGCTGGTAGGTGGTTGAGCAGGTATGGGTGAGGGAAGTCTTGAGTTTTTACCCTTGACCTCTGTCTTACCCTGTGTACCTAGCTAAGATGGGAGACCCTTGAGTTCAGAACTGAGCTGAGGACTGATCTGAAACTGACAAGTAGGAGGCAGGAAATTGTTGTAACAGTCTTGGATGTGCCCCCGATCTCCTTTACCGGCCACTGGGTACCTGGTGGTATACAAGTTGAACAGCTTCAAAAAGCCAGAGAGACAATATTTCTGCTCATGCAAGTTTGGCTAACTTGATTGTTGTATCAATTAGAGTTAGGGGGAGCTGTGTATAATAGGAACCCAACAAAGTGATTGCTTTAATAAGATAAAGATTTATTTTTTGCCTTTGTACAAGAATTTCAGAAATAGTCCAGGGCTAATTTGGTGGCTGTATGAAATTAGGGACCAAAGATCCTTCCAGCTCTCCAACCACCATCCCTTGTGTGTGGCCTTCATAGTCACAGTCAAGACGGCTGTTGGAGCTTCAGCCATAGCATCTTTATTTCAAGGAGAAAGAAACAATAAGAACAGACAACAGGGGTGCATACCTAAGTATGCTTCTTGAAAGATGCTAAACGGCAATTCTCCTCGTATATCATTGTTCAGAACATAGTCATTTATTCACACCTGGCTGTAAGAAAGCTGGGAAAATTAGTCTTTATTCTAGACAGTCGTTTGCCTGTATAACAATTTTGGGTTCTATTACTAAGGAAGAAAGGGAGAAAGGATATTAGGGTAGGCAAGCAGCAGTTCTGCCCCAAATGGTCCATTTCTGGGTGTCTGGAAGGGCAGAGTTCTCATCTTATAGTTTCAAAATACCAAAGGCCGTTCTGCCAATAACTTTGATCTGAGTAACTGAACAAGGAGCATTTTGGGGACACGGGGCACCTAAGGATGCAAGTAGGTAAGTGGATACTAAGCAGGCATAAAGGACTCTAAGAAGGCATGGAAGGGCTCGGAAAATAAGTTCTACCCTTTCACAATTATTACAAAAGTCAGACTTGAACTTGGATCAATTTTCTTTATTTGGGCCTTTCCTGTAAGAAGGCTTTCACACCACGCTGTCTATGAGAGAATCTTTAACTTCTCATCTTTGGAAAACAGAAGGAATGTCCTAGGTCTCATGCAACATCTCTGTGTAGTAAGAACTCAAGGGGCATTTTCTTTACTTATCAGTCTCCCCACCTGGACTTAGAAAGAAATGAATCTCTTAACTCAGAAGGATGTGCGGAGGAATAGCAAGGAAGAAATGAAATGGGCTGAAAGAACAAGGAGTAGAGTTCTGCCAAATATTTGGGAGTCACAGCAGGGCAGACAGACTGTAATGGGTTCTAATTGGCACCTGCATAAGCCATAACATTCTTACTTTCCGCTAAGTGGCACTCTGGAAAGGTGAGAAATTACTTTCTACCTTAGAAAACATGAAAGAAAATCCAGTAACTCACGCTTTAGTAAAAGCAAAATAAAACCAACAAAGCTCCCAGCCATCACAAAGGAGGAGAAAACTGCAAGCAAGAATCAGAGAGGAATTTAGGCATAAAAGGATTCAAAGCAGGAATTGGCAATCAATGGCCTGCAGGCCAAATCTGGCCCACCACCTGTTTGAATATGGCCTGTTTTTACATAGCTAAGAATTGCTTTTACATTTTTAAATGGTTGAAAAAAATAAGAAGAAGAATGTTTAGTGACACAGGAAAATTATATGAAATTCAAATTTCAGTGTCTGTAAATAAAATTTAATTGGAACACAGCCATGCCCATTGATTTATGCACGCTCTATGGCTGTTTTTGTGCTGTAACAGCTGAGCAGAGAGTAGTTGCAAAGTCCAAAATATTTCTTTATCCTTTTTTTTTTTTTTGAGGAAGATTAGCCCTGAGCTAACATCTGCTGCCAATCCTCCTCTTTTTGCTGAGGAAGACTGGCCCTGAGCTAACATCTGTGCCCATCTGCCTCTACTTTATACGTGGGACGCCTGCCACAGAATGGCTTGCCAAGTGGTGCCATGTCCACACCTGGGATCCGAACCAGCAAACCCCAGGCCACCAAAGCGGAACGTGTGAACCTAACCGCTGTGCCACGGGCCTGGCCCTGCAAAATATTTCTTATTTGGCCCTTTCCAGAAAAAATTGCTGAATCCTGATTTAAAGTACCAAAAAATGCATGCCTCCATGCTCATCACTTACAACATGCATGAGCTCAAAAAAACTTACTTTTAAGTCTCAATTTCTTCTTGTTCAGATGGGAGTAATAATAACCCACTTCACAGATTGCCATGAGGATTAAATGAGATAATTCATGTAAAGTACTTACCTGGAACATGGCACATTGTCAATAATGGTAGTTGTTTTTATTATTTATTGTTTTAATGGCTAGATTTTAATTCTCATTTAAGACTCAGCTTGCTTCTTGAGCTTTCCTTGAGCCCCTCAAGGTAGATTAGGTGTCTTTATTCTGTGTTCTCATAATACCCAGTGCTTGTCTCAGTCACTACTTATCACATTTTACTGTAATGATGTTTATATGTCTGGCCCCTCCTATGAGCCATGAGTTTCTTCACTTATTGGTCTTTGTGTTCTCAATGGCCATCACAGTGAACATAGTACTGTTGGAGTTTTAGGGGCAGCTAGGTTGGCCGATGTTACTTCCTAATACTGAACTCCAGGATTAGACAAACCTACCCACTCGATCACGGGTCAGTTGGGCCAAGACAGGCCCCCTCCCACAGAAGCAGAGCTGGCTCAATAGCTCTTGTGGAATGCGGTTGTCCATGCCTTCTCCCAGACTCCTTAGATAGACAAATCCCCTCTCTCATGGGGAAGAGTGAGTAAGAGGGTGGGGAAGGAGGCCCGGAGTGTATCTCTAGGGGGCTACCTCTCTGGAAACATAAAGTGGAAGTGTACAATTTTCCCTTGTAGCAAGTGGCTGCTGCTTATACGAAAGCCAAATGAATGACTCCCACGTGATGGTGCTTTTGACACTTGTCACACTTGCCATGTGAAAACCAATAACGCCATTTAGGCAGTCACCTAAGCTATACAGTTGTATAGAAAATATTGAGAAGGGCTTCTTGTCCTCTAATATTTTCACAACATTTGTCGGCTCAAATGCCAGAGCTTTACCTAACAAATGAATATATGCATATGTGTGTGAACATACACACACACATATAAGTAAAAAAACTTTGATCCACACCGTGTGTACATATATATATATATATATATATATATATACCTAATTTTCTTTCTTTTTTTTTTTTTTTGAGGAAGATTAGCCCTGAGCTAACATCTGCCAATCCTCCTCTTTTTGCTGAAGCAGACTGGCCCTGAGCTAACATCGATGCCCATCTTCCCCACTTTATATGTGGGATGCCTACCACAGCATGGCTTGCCAAGCAGTGCCATGTCCACACCCGGGATCCAAACCAGCAAACCCCGGGCCACGGAAGCAGAACATGCGCACTTAACCGCTGCACCACCGGACCGACCCCCCTAGTTTTCTTTTACTTTTTACATTAAAATTTTTTGCTTTCATGATATCTTTCAAAAAACAAATACAGGGAACCCTCTGGATTCTTGTGTTTAGTTCTCTTTAGTTTGATTCAACAAATTCGTATTGAAAACCCTACTGCTCTTTAAGTGCTGGGCTCTGACCAGGGCAAGTAGAATTAAGAGCAGAATGTGCCTTTTCTGAGTATGGCTCCTATCTACAGAGGGAGTTATTGTAGGGCAATAAGAGAAGCAAGGAAAGGAATAGAAGTGTTATATTAGAAGGAATGGCTAAATTTAGAAAAGATTTCACATACCAAGTGATATCTGAAAGGAGTTTTGAAGGAAGAATTAGGAGTGATAACATGGGGCAATGTGGGGAAGGACATTCCTTTAAAGAAACAGATTGTCAGCGACAAGAAAGAAGAAACAGCCAGGGCATTTCAATTCACTCACGCTGGGATGGCAGTAAACTCTAAGGGTGGTGGAGCTAGAGGAAGCAGGAGAGGTAGGCAGGGGTCTGTATGCCATTTCCATTCAACCCGTGTTTCTCC